TGAAGAACAATCCCCCCCACCCACCCATCTTGTACAACAAAATCACGTTTTAACCACTGCACTGTCCCTGAAGCTACGCGAGCCTTTTTCTTTTAATGTTTCCTAGCAGGGTTACCACCAGCACAGCTCCAGCTGAGCCACCAGCATTTTCAGCAGTGTGTCTTCTAATCGTCCTCAGAATAGCCAGAAGTAAGTTACTGCTGCTTTGAAACAGAATTTACATTAGAAAAAGTCTGTCTCTTATTAGCTAGGCAGAGTACTGGAAACACCAGCAGCCAGTTGTAAAACTTCATTTGTATCCAGAATTCCAAAGTCATTATTTAATTTGTTTGGAAAAAATGTAGCTTGAGTAAAAAAAAGCCAACAAAATAATTAAATAAGAAGACGTGTTTGTTATTAAAGATCCATAAAAATGCAAGTAGGCTTGAAATCCAAAGGATCTGAAAATTAACACTGCAAGTACATAAAAAGAAAAGGACACTGAATAGGGCTGGCTGGAAAACAACAATTCCATTTTGCTAAACATTTCAAGGCTTTGAAATTTGTTTTTGTTCCAATATGAAACAAAAAATGAGACTTTCTGAAAGTTTTCATGAAACGAGAATGAGAGAGAGAGAGCGCGAGCGAGCGAGCATTCACTCCCTCCGGACCTGAAAAAATCTTCTCAACAAAATTGTCTCCAAAATAGATAATGTTTCCGTGAAACATTCTGGTTTTGATGAAACAGCATTTTTCAACGGGAAAAAAAAAAGTGTCAGCAGAAATATCATAGCCATTCTAACACCGAAGGCTTATCTAGATCGGATGCTTGCATGAATAAATTACGTTGAGAATTGAACCAATGTAATTACATTTATATATGTCCCCATGTGAACACCATATCACTTCTTCCTTAGAAAGATATTCCGTAAGATAACTGATCAACTTAAAGTTGTTTTTTTTCTTGATTAAAGATACGTTATTTTATACAAAGACTGTAAAAGGAATCACAGAATAAGCAAAATCCGAGAGGTATCATATGCCAATTTGTTACTTATCTATAGGGATTTTTCTGTAAACCTGTGGACATTCTTATTCTGAAATAAGAATGGCTTTACAATTTGTGAGGGGTTTTTTTTTGTAAAGAAACTTAAACTGTGCTTCCAAAACCATATAGACTTGACTGAATTAAGCTCTCATATACCAAGGGAAAGTTTGTGCTTGAATCTTCAACCCTGACTGGGCAGCACTGCAGAAGAACATACTGTAATAAACAGTTCTGCAATGAAAGGCAGGTGAACTACTGTTTTTAAGTCTTTGAATCCATTGAAGAGGAAGAAAAACACTCATATTTTATGAAATATTGCACATGGTAATTCTTCTCTGTCCCTTGCTCTGCTAACTGTGTATTTGTGTGTTAGCTTATTTATGCTCATTTTGGAGTACGGTTGGCTCCAGTATTATTGGATGCCCCCAAAACAGCAGTGAGGATATTTAAATGAACAAAGCTCGATTCAGTTGTTCCAAAGAATATTGATCACAGAAATAAGTACAAAGGCAGATCATCTCGGCCTGCCACAGCATGCAGTACATTCTTCCATGAATTGTTCTCACCTTCCTCTTGTGGTTCTTTGTAAAATCTTCATCCCAGCTAGGCAGCAGAATTTTCCTTCCCATCTCCTGCAGTACCGCTCAATGTCATCTGCAGAACTCAGGGACTGCAACTGCACTTCACTGAACATACCATAGGCGTCCTGGACAAGGAGGCACAACCTGCAAAACATTCCTCTGTTACTCAGTGGCTCCTGTTCACAACAGACTAGTTGGCGAGCTTCTGAAAATTACATGACAAGCTTCAAAACAGGGCTTTATCCTCTGCAATATCTGGAGAATTCCTACCAAATAATGAATAGCCATATCAATAAACAAAACTACTACTGTTAAAGGTTTTCTCATGTACATTGGCAGGACCTAACAGGGCCATGAAATAGAGTGGCATGACTGAAAAAACCATTAAGGGCTTGCCCTGGGTATTAGACCAACCAATGGCTACGCACTGTCGTTTGTGTACCTGTAAAGAAAGAAGGCTGAGTTTTTGCCTAACTTGAGGTGAATTCTGCAATGCAGACAGAGCAATGATGCAGACGTGTATGTGTGTGTGTATAAATATTAAAATTCTGCTTAGAAGTAAATAAAGCAACGTATTTCACAGGTAATAATCACCAACACTGAAACTGGCAAAGCAAGTTACATCTTGTGTAACTTTTTTTAAAGAGTCTTGAGGATGTAAAAAAGAGTGAAATGACAATTTTTCTTTAAAAAAAAAAACCAAAACAACATGAAACTGCAGATTAGTATATTCAATACTGGGTAGGAAGAAGCTCAGAGGAACAACTTTAAGGGAGTAATTAAAGAACCTGCTAAACAATTTGATTAAAGTAATCTATGGAAGTAGGGGCTGTAGGGTTGGGAAGTATTTCTTAACAAACTGGCTGGCATTTTGAGAAGATATTACAGTCATATCAGATACAGCAAAATCAGAGGATGTCATACATTTAGATGCTCAAAAATACATTTCACAAGATTCTGCACCTGAGATGATGAGCAGCCACGATAGCATGAGTCATACAGTGCTGGAGGATGGAGGCTGCTGTCTACAAGACTGGTTTAATTGCCCCAGAAAGAGCCAGTTAAGCATGAAAACTTTCCAAGGGAGACAAAAATTACCTTGGAGGGTAGCACACGTATCTTTAGCTCTAAATAAAACTCAGGGGTGCACTAGGCAGCAGAATTCAATTCATTCCAAAGGTACATGCCAACACTACCGTCTCCAGAGCAGTACCATTGTTCACAGCTAGCCAACTCCAACTGCTTTTGAAGCACATCACATAACATGTTATATGCATCCTGAAAGCATTCTACAGCAGTCATTATATCTTTATAAAACACATTTTAAGTGAAATGAGGTCCTACACTTCTCTGGAAGAGATCCATGTATTCGTTTGCGAGGAAGCTTAGGCACATGGAAGATCATTAATCACAGTTTCCTTGTTCATTATGAACTGTCTAACTTTGGCTGACACCCTTGAGAGGGCTGCATTTGACACAGGGTACAACTCCAAAGCCTTTCAGACACCAGCAGCTGTGCAAACACCAGCTGAGAGTCCTCATTTTTCAGATTGTGGTGCTGGTTTTGAGGAGCAGGGACTGATAGGACTGAACACAAATGAAGGCTCCTTTTCCCCATTGTCTCTAGCTACAAGGGTCCAACACAGAGTCTTTGCCAGGCAAAGAAAGCTTAGATACAACTACAGCTTCCCAAGGTTAGGAAGTCCTTTACAACCGTGAAACATTGCTTCTACCCTGAGTAACAACAAATAGGAGGAAACCAAATGCTGTTGTGATTTGTAGGCTGGAAGGACACATACCCTCACCTCTGGGACGAGTGGTGTTCCCTGCCTAGAAAGTGGGTGACTCTTAACAATATAAACCTGTGTCTTCAATAGCTCTATCACTCTTTTCATTTTCTGCATAAAACAATCCATGAGATCCCTTTTGGATTGGTACCAGAAGACCATCTCCAACTCAACCGAACAAAGACTGATGTGCTACGAAGGTGACAGCCCGGAAGCACAAAAACTGCGGTTGCCTCCCACTTCCCATATTAGGACCTTGCAGCCTGTTAAAAGCTCTCCTGAGTTTTAACTGATCGGACTGAAACTCCTCATGCTAGTTTTGTTTGAAAAAAGAGAGCTAATATGCTCTGGACAATTCTGAAAATCAGATTGAGGGGAACAGGAAAAACAAAGCAAACAGTTTTGTCTATGTTAACTAAACATTCAGTGACTGTTAATTGTGAAAAATTAGGCCATCATATCTTGGAGCAAAGGCCAACTGAGTTAGCATCTCAGATCTGATCAGTTCAGCAGTCTCTTAACTGATCACTGGAATTTCTCATATCTTTAGTGAGATATAACTGAATGCAAGTAAGTCTCAGACTAGCTGGCACCAGGCTCATATTAAGTCCTCTGGGACATATTAATTGCCCAAATAAAAATAGCTTGGTTGGTGCTGAAGACATCAGTCACTAAAAGTCCATTTTCCCCGTCCTTTTATGCCCGGGAGTCTCAACAGCCCGCATCCCTGGCCACATATTTCCATTCCTTTGTGGCAGCAGTGTAAACAGCTAGGATAGGAAACCAATCTGACAAAAACAATACTGTAGCCAAATCATCATCATCATATCAGCTCCTTGAAAATCAACTCTGCAGAAGTAAACTCCTACTTCCACGGAGTACTACTTCTAGACAAAGATGTATTTTCCAGGCAGGATTAGGAGACTGAGGCTCCCACTCCAGTTGTCTGGTGTGTGCAGCACATCATCCCAGGTCACATGATGAGAGAATGGTCATCATATGACCAGGCTTGATATACAGAAGTGAAGGAAGAATTGCATAACTTGAGGCACTTATATCACTAATGTTCCCATTCACACTAGTAACGGGTTCGTGATCATTGGCATCATGAAGAAGCACAGAGCAGCAGAACCTCTTGCACCAGACCCCATGTACTTTTGCTCTATTAGGACCGTGCACGTGAGCAGACATCTGCTATACTACACTTGTTCTTACAGTATCCAAAAGGAAGTCATGATTTCTCTGCAACATGCATGCAAAATGAAACGTACATACTCAACAGATTTTCACAAATAACCTTCAGAGGCCCAATTTCAGACTAAAAGATGAAGAATATCCCAAACTAACGCTATGAAGAGAACTTCACAAACGCACGTTCCCTGCTTCCCCACACATTTAAAACAGTACAAATGAATGATGACAAAAACCTGAAATATTCTCAACTTCATATCATCTCACACTGATTTAGTAAGTAATGCCATAGGTATTTAGCGAGTGACAACTGATTTTCCTACTTAATAACTACGATTAAATCAGGTGAGTCCCACAACAGACTCAATGATGCATCTGGAGAACTATTCTCATGTTCTCTGAAATGGGTTCTGTTCATACAGATTTTGCACGTGTTGTTATCATCACTAACAGTAGTTTCACTGCTTTCAGAGGCTGCTGATTCACAGCCCGAACTTCCTCATCAGCATTGTTTTTTTCCTTGATTTCACTTTATTCTCAGAAAACTGCATTGGTGCATTTTTCCATGTCACAGTGTTGCTCTCATATTGCAGCAAATGTTCTTGCAAATTAAGTTTTAGCAGCAAGTCTAACTGATTAAAGCAAGTTTGTCCCATGATTTTTCCCCCCTTTGAAGCTCACTACCAGGATGAAAATCCACATCTAAGTTATGAGACAAGCTGCAAATCCAAAATGAGTATATGCCTCCAGGAATTCAGCATTTATATTTTATCTACTACAAATACTTTTTTTTTCCATAAAATGTGGTGTCTGTACTGAATCAGTTAGTCAACTAAAACATACTTATACCAATGCCTTGTCAGTATGCATAGTACTAAGCTGCTAAAAAAAAGGACAAGATCAGCACTTTGATCAGCAGTGCTCATGTAGGGAGGAAATCAGGGCCTTTTTGGGACAAGAGGAATATGATGGGATCCCTGCAAAAGATCTGAATTTGCAATACGGTTTTGGAAACTGAAATTTCTCATGCAAAGGAGCAGAGAATTCACTCCAGGAACTAAGGGTGGCAGGAAAGTTGGTAGAGGAGTGAGTGTGGGAGATGCAGACTAAGGAAAAGGTGAAGTATGACTCACTGGTAATAACAAAAGGGGCAAAGATAGGGAACGATAAGAAGGGAGGCAGAGATTAGCGTTGTTTTTCTTCCCTTTTTTTTAAAAAAAAAAAGTAATGACACAGTAAGTCTCATGCAAAAGCTTGGGAAGATTTTGTTAATTTGCTAATAGCCAGGAGCAAGGATGGGGGCTGGGGGAAGAGGAGACTGATTACTCTGCATTATTCCTATGACTGTGCTGATCTTTAGGACAAAATGTCTCCCAGTAGAAATCTGGAGAGGATTACAAGATTACTCTGCCGTGCCCTTCTCCTAGTTAGTCACTCCTCATGGGTAAAAGGTAAAGCCTTCTTTCACTACTACTTTTTTATGCACGAAAAATCATCTCTCCATATTGCTGCCTCATATTGGGCAGCTGACTTTCTGTAGAGGTAATAGCAAGAAAAACCTTCTTCAGCTTTGGTCACCTCCAGCCTCCTCAGTGGCTAGTGGAAAAGAATAAGAAAAAGCTTATCCCCCTGAGGAGATGAGAGCACACGGAGGCCAGAACTGACTGATGACACAGGGCTTGCCTTTACTGAGTCTTGTGAAAACAAGCAGCAGAAATTTGTCACGAACAGATCTTCACTAATAATCAACTGTTTTACCCTAGGGTAGGAGGACAACCATGTGGCCCATAGCAGCTTTTCTCCACGGATAGCTAAGCTGCGGAGCATGCATGAGGAGCAAATGCTACCACCTTCACTGTGCTCAGCAGGGACTTCTTTAGTTACTTTCTTTGAAGGGAGGGAAAAGGGAGACCCGGAAAATGCCTTAAAACTAATTGAATTGTATTAGCTCTGATATTTGCTCATTGTTTATCTTAACCAGCCAAGAGACAGCTTTTGCTGCTTTGTTTGTCAGAAGGACGTCTTATCTCTTTAAGGTGCGGTCCTAGCAGAAGCATAAAGCCCACATACATAAACACACATAAACAAAAACCCCCTCTCCCTTGATCACCAGAGGCACAACACTACCTACACAACTCCAATTCAGCAACTTGTCTGGTCAGGTCT